CATAAGCTAGCCAGGCGGCCGGGGTGTTGGGGACGCAGCCCCGCCGCTCCTATTTCAACAAAATACAGGTTAATAGATGATCATCTATAATAGTCAAACTTATAGTCATGTTAGTTAGCTTTTCTAAATATATAGAGATATATTTCAGTTAAATAATCTTCAAACCTTTCAAAGATCTACAGAATATGACATTTAAAATGTTTTAAGAGCTTAAGACTTTTCATGGCAACGAGACACATCTGCTCCTGGCAGCACCAAGCTACTTTAAAAGGATGATGGGCATTAAAGAGGCTCCTTAAGGCAATGGTTAGCCATTTGGGCAAGAAACTGCTTTGGCCCATAGCAAGGCAGAACTTAGCTAGGCAGGGAAAACTAAACTGAATGCTAGGAGAAAGAAGGCAGAGTCAGAAGAAGTCATGTAGCCCCACTGGAGACAGACACCGGAACTTTACCTGGTAAGCCACAGCCTCCTGGCTATGGACAGGTTAATGGAGATGATTTAATCTAAGATATGAGTTAGCCAGAAATACACTTAAGCTATTGGCTAAACAGTATTGCAAATAATATGGTTTCACTGTGGTTATTTCAGGGCTGAGCATCTGGGAACAGACAAGTGGACTCTTACAACAGTTCCAGTCTATTTTTTAAGTGAATGATTACAATGAATACAAGTAAAACCCAGCATGTTTTCCATATCCCTTACATGATTAAGCCTTTTACATATCACAGTATTACAGGTGAAAAACAAATCACCCCCAAGAGTCCACATACATTCAAGTCCAAGCAACTTGATATAGATTAACAAAGTGTAAGCAAGCAAGGTGTTTTTCTCAGCCAGTTCTTTGACTGGCAGCCTGAATTTTTCAGTTATAAAGAAAGGATCAACCACTTTTATTATTTATCTCAAAAGGTAATCTTATAAGGATCTTAAAATAATCGCAAATCTAAACTTTTTTTTTAAATTTATTACATATACAGTATTCTGCTTGCATGTATACTTGCAGGCCAGAAGAGGGCACCAGATCTCATTACAGATGGTTGTGAGCCAACCCCGTGGTTGCTAGGAATTGGACTCAGGACCTTTGGAAGAGCAGTCAGTGCTCTTAACCTCTGAGCCATCTCTCCAGCCCCAAATCTAAACTTTTATACATGAGAAACAATTAGTCATCTCTACTTAAATCCTCAGCAGTGGACTCAGCATCCTGGGATGTGAGCCCATCCAGCCTGACTCTCCTGGGAGCTGCTCACTCTCCTTACAGCTCAGCATTACATAACCGCACTCTGCAGGCAGAAGCAGCTGGGTTCATTTCTGACTCTGGACAGGATACAAGTTATTTAAAATCTTTCCCCCCCCCACCTCCTTTCCCTCTGCCCTCATCTCTCTCATGTATGCATACATCTTGAGGGTATCTGTGGGGGGGGGGGTGCAGCATGCGCACCTGTGTGCATACACCAGAGTGTGACATCTCACCTGGTTTTTTGCTTGTTTGTTGGTTTTAACAGGGGCTCTTACTGAACCTGGAGCTCACTGATTCAGCTAAATGCCTGAGGAGCTCAAGGACTACCCTGTCTCCACTTCCTTGGCACTTGGCACTGGGTTACTTATGCATGCATGCCATCAGCCTGGCTTCCCGTGGATACTGGGGATCCAGACCCAAGTCACCATGTTGTTCATAAGCACTTTAGTAAGCCATCCCCAGCGCCTACTTAACCTCTCATCAGCTGGGATGAATGAGGATAAGAAGTCACCGGTGGTTGGGAGGCCCACATAGAAAAGACACGTGAAAGGACTGGAGAGATGGCTCAGCGGTTAGGATCACTGACTGCTCTTCCAGAGGGCATAGCTTCAATCCCCAGCACCCACATGCCAGATCACAACTGTCTGGAACTCCAAGACGTGACACCCTCACACAGATGCACAGGCAGACAATACACCAAGCGCATAAAATAAAGACAAATTATTTAAAAAAAAAAAAGAATTTTGTTTTAAAGAAAGAAAAGGTACGTGAAGGGTGGCCATGCAGTCCAGGCTCAAGGGACAGGACTAAGGACACATACAGCCCCGTGACGGAGGGCTCCCCTAGCACGTGTGTGATACACAGGAGATGAGCACTTGGGGGAGGGGTGCTATGCAGGGGCAGAGACTCTGACTGATGAGTTTGGCAGCGGTTATGGAACTCACGCACGGCACGGTCTGTGTCTGGCTGTCATGGAGACCATCCATCCCTGACGGTCGTCAGATGAAGTGAAATAGTTCCTAAATCTCCATTCCACAGTGGTAAAACCCCCCAAATCACAACAGCTAGAGGCTAACCCTGCTGGTATGAGAAGCTGGCCTGGCAGGACTTCATCTGGCAGCACATTCCGGCCTTTTCTGGCCACAAAGCTGCTTACCGGGTACTCAGAGAGTCCCTGTGTGTGACTATTCAAAACACTGTACACCTGAAAATGGAATACTGCCAGAGTCAGATATGGCCCTAACCAACTCCTCTAAAATTGTTACGACACAGGCCAGTGAATCGCACCAGGCCTCTGCTCTCAGATTTCTCCCCAAGAGCTGTGCCCTGACCAAGGCTTTTGGATGAGGGATTATGTTTATCCCATGGTTGCCATACAATAGGAGCTTAATAAATGACGGTTCTCTCTTCTTTTAGGATGATGACATCCTTAACGTCTGTCTTTACAGCCCAGCCCAGTGTTCAACATGTTAGTTCTTATTTAAAAAAAAAAAAGGTATGTGTGTGTGTGTGTGTGTGTGTGTACACGTGCTTGCATGTACCTATTAAAGCCAGAAGATGGCATCAGATTCCCTGGAGCTGACAGCTGTGAGCCATCTGATGTAGGTGCTGGGACCTAACTAGGTCCCAAGAGCAAGAGCAGCAATTGCTCTTAATGACTGAGCCATTGTGGGCTGGAGAGATGAGTCAGTGGATAAGAGCACTGGCTGCTCCTGCAGAGGACCCAGGTTTAGTTCTCAGCACCCACGTGGCAGCTCACAGCTGAGCCACCATCGCTCCAGTCCCTAACACAGCCGTTATTGTTCCTCCTTCTCAACTATCAGCTAAATCAGCCTTGCCACACAAGTGAGGAAACTGAGGCACAGTTGACACTTTGATCGCAGAGCCTTGGGTTCTGCTGCCTCTCAGCAGCTGAGACCAGGACAGCAGCAGACGAGAGGAAGAGAGAGACTTTCCTGACAGCACCTACCCACTGGCCAGCTACTGACCCTGCGGTGCCACCGAGCCGTTAGAGTGACCACCAAGTTTTCAACATCACCCAACATGATCACAAACGTAAACGTAGGCTTCTTAAATTTGACTCTGTTCCAAAGGTGATTTCCTTCTAAGAAAAGATCAGGAACACTGTGAGCAGGGACAAGGAACTCTCAAAGTCAGGGAAAGCGGGTTCCCACCTGGCAGAGACTCACAGGCTGCCCTGGATTTTCCCTTGCCAAGCACAGACAATGTTGGCCTTTCATTATCAAGGAAGCTTGGCTTGTAAACTCTCACTAGGACCGTAGCTGGAAACCTGGCTCAGGATGGATCTGTTACAAAGAGAAAGGGAAGTGCAGTGTCCTGGTGTTTGCCTTTTGCCCCACACGGCTGCTTCTACCCTCACTGCCTCTGCATAGAAATAAGTCTCACTGGCTTCCTATCATTTGATTATACATGAAGCTACCAGAAATTCCCAGAGAAAGAAATGAGCCCTATCCCAGTCTCTGGGCTCCGTTGTGGAATATTATTTTAAGGTGTGTTACATTTGTTTATGCTACAGAACATTTGTTTTAATGATGCAAAGATGTGTTGCGTTCCTTTATCTTGCATTTGTTTAACTCTATGAAGCTGTGTTAGTTTGCCTGTATAAAACACCTGAGTGGGCTAATAAAGAGCTGAATGGCCAATAGCAAGCCAGGAGCAAGGATAGGCGGGGCTGTCAGGCAGAGAGAATAAATAGAAAGAGAAAAAGCAAAAAAGATCAAGAATCAAGAAAAGAAGGGGTCAGCCAGCCACTCATCCAGCCACGGAGTAAGAATGAAAGTAAGATTACAGAAATAAGAAAAGGAAAAATCCAGATGCAAAGGGTAGACGGGATAATTTAAGAAAAACTGACAAGCTGAACAAGCTGGCCAAGTCAGGTGGTGGTGGTGGTACACGCCTTTCATCCCAGCACCCGAGGAGCAAAAGGCAGGTGAATATCTGTGAGTTTGAGTCCAGCCTGATCTACAAGAGCTAGTTCCAGGACAGCTAAGGCTGTTACACAGAGAAACACTGTCTCAGAAAAGAAAGAAAGAAAGAAAGAAAGAAAGAAAGAAAGAAAGAAAGAAAGAAAGAAAGAGAGAAAAGCTGGCTAGAAATAAGCCAAACTAAGGCTGGGCATTTATAAGTAAGAAAAAAGCCTCCAAGTGTATTTACTTGGGAGTTGGGTGGAGGCCCCCTGTGGTGATATTTTATTTGTGCTTTAACAAATAATGTTTGCCTGAAGATCAGAGTGCAAAGCTAAGCCACTAGTTAGCAACACAAGTCAGGCAGTGGTGGCGCACACCTTTAATCTTAGCAGGAGACAAAGGCAGACGGGTCTCTGTGAGTTCAAGGTCACCCTGACTTTAACACTAGATTGATCCAGTCTAAAAGAGAAATAGAGCTCACAGCTTTGATCCCAGCACTTGGGATCACACACCTTTAACCCCAGCATTAGGGTGGTGGAGACATTTGAGTGATGAGGCTGGGCAGAGAAAGGAATATAAGGCAAAAGGAGACAGGAGCTCAGGATTCAGTCTGAGGTTTCATAGAAACAGCATTCAGTCTGAGGACTTGTAGAGACAGGACATCCCATTCGGCAGAGGATTTGGTAGAGGTAAGAACTAGTAGCTGGCTGCTCTGCTTCTCTATCTTTCACCATAAGCCTCTATATCTGACTCCAGGTTTTTATTATTAAAACCAATTAGAATTCGTGCTACAGCCCCCCCCCCAAAAGAAGAACAAAGAGTAAAACAAACAAACCAAATAAAACCATCTGCGGTGCTCATAAAGCAGACCAGGTCTTCACAGCTCCCCACAAGGCGATGAAACCCAAAGCCACGGTGGCGAACAATTGCTGGTGGCAGCAGTTTCTGCAGCAAAACAAGAATTAGAGAATTAGAGGTTTGAGAGGCGAGAGCGAGGGGAAGAAACAAGACAGAACCCGCATCAGGTCACTGGAAGCCACCAGCCCTTGGAAACCTGAGTGGGGAAGGATGCTTTTCGTCTTCCACCTGCCAAGCTGGCGACGTCGAATGGATCAACGGGTCACGTGCGCTTCTTCACCTCTGAACTTGACATGCGGTACCTTTGTTCACGCTATCTCTTTATGCTAGTGGTTGAATCCATGGCCTTGGGAATGCGAAGCGTGTACTCTACCACTGGACTACACCCCATCCCCTGAGCTAGTGGTGCATGTAGTTGGCCTTGTTTTTTTCTTTTTTTTTTTTTTTTAGTTTTTCGAGACAGGGTTTCTCTGTAGCTTTGGAGCCTGTCCTGGCACTAGCTCTTGTAGACCAGGCTGGCTTCAAACTCACAGAGATCCACCTGCCTCTACTTCCCGAGTGCTGGGATTAAAGGCATGCGCCACCACTGCCCGGCGGCCTTGCTTTTTTCTATCTAATCAACTTCACTGGGCTACAATGTACATACAGTAAAATGTATCTATTGCAAAGGGGACTTTGATGGTGGTGGTGGGACAGGTCTCACGTGGCCCAGAATGACCTCAAACTTGCTATGTAGTCGATCATGATCTTGAACTCCCAATCCTCCTGCCTCTGCTTCCCGAGCACTGGGATTATAAACCCTGTCAGAACACAGTCAAAAGTTAAATAATGCACAATGCCTTGGGGAACTGTGAGAGAGGCTCCAGGAAAGAAGGCAGGCCTTTGTCCTTGGCTGCATTTTATTCCTGGATTTTCTTGGATGTGATCACATGCCTCCTTTGACAAACATTTACATTCTATTTATGAGTCATATTCATTCTCGTTGGATGTCAGGACATAGTCATAGACTCCATCTGGTCAGTGGACCCTGAATCTGGACACAGCCCTCTGTCTTGTTGGATGTCAGGACATAGTGATAGAACCCAGTCCGGACCCTGAATGTGGGCCCGGCCCTCTGTCTTGCTCTTCTCCTTCCCTAGATATAATCTATAGTGCCTGCCAGGCAATTATGTTTAAATTGGTCTGTCCTGAGAAAGGGCTGTTCTGTTGATACTTAGTATGTGCTTACTGGTGTTTATTGATATGTTTTTCTGACCTCAAACACCCTTCCTTGGATCATTGCTTTCTTTGTTATATTTATGTATAAAAGTACAATGGAACTGAAGTAAAATTGTCTCCAGCATTAGGCTGTGGTCTGCCCCATTCTTCCAGGTCCTCAGATGCCAGGTCCAGCAAAGATTTGCACAGGTTGGCAGAAAAGTCGACAGGCATCATCCACCATTCATGGCAAATTTAAACTTTACTTTCACTTTGGACAGTCCCATGTATCCTAGGTTGGCCAGAAAGTCAAGATGCAGCTGACGAAGACTCTGAACCTCTGATCAACCTGCTTCCATCTCCCAAGTACTGGATCAAAGGCATGTGCCACCATGCTCAGCCTCAGAGCGGAACTTTCAGTTAATTTTCTTTTCTTTTCTATTTATTTATTTATTTATTTATTTATTTATTTATTTTTTTATTTATTATGTATATAATAGTCTATCTGTATGTATGTCTGCAGGCCAGAAGAGGGCACCAGACCTCATTACAGATGGTTGTAAGCCACCAAGCCACCATGTGGTTGCTGGGAATTGAACTCAGGACCTTTGGAAGAACAGGCAATGCTCTTAACCACTGAGCCATCTCTCCAGCCCCAATTAATATTATTCTCATTCGGTTCCTATTCCTATACATCACAGAACATTTTCTTGACCCTAAGACGTTCCCTCCAGCTTATGCTGCAATGTGCTGAATGGTTTCATGTCAACTTGACACAAGTTGAAGTCATCTGAGAGGAGGGAAGCTTGGTTGAGAAAATACCTCCATACGATCAGGCTATAAGCTAACCTATAGGGCACTGTATTAGTGATAGATGTGGGAGCCCATCATGGACAGGGCCATCCCTAGGCTGGTGGTCCTGGGTTCTATAAGAAAGCAGGATGGGAAAGCCATGAAGAGCAAGTCAGTTAGCAACATCCCTCCATGGCCTCTGCATCAGCTCCTGCCTCCAGGTTCCTGCTCTGCTTGAGTTCCTGCCCTCACTGCTTTCCCTGATGAACTGTTTGGTGGAACTGTGAATGAAACAAACCCTTTCTCCCCAGGATGTTTTCGGTCCTGGTGTTTCGTCACAATAATAGAAACCTGACTAAGGCATATTGTCAGACCTTCTTATCCCCCACCCCAGGTAGCCAGCCACTCATCTGTTCAGATCTATGGTCAGTTCTGCCCCTCTGTTCTGTCGTATTAACAGAACCATGGACTCTTTTATGCCTGTTTCTTCCTCTCTTGCGTCTCTCTCTCTCTCTCTCTCTCTCTCTCTCTCTCTCTCTCTCTCTCTCTCTCTGCTATTATAAATAAGATTCTATTAAATTACAGTTACTTGTATGCATGTGGTCTTATGTGTGGCATGGCACATGTTTGGAAGTGCAAGAACAACTTGCAGAGCCGGCTCTCTTCCCATTGTGTGGGCTCCGGTATGGTACAGAAGCCAGGTCAGCAGGTGGGAGGCACCTTTCCCTGCTGAGTCATCTTATTGGCCCCAAACAGGGTTTCTTAAAGCTTCAAAAGCCAATTATTTGCAAATAAATAAGATAAAAAAAAAACACTTCTTTTGAATACACTTTGCTTCCTGTGACCTTGCTGAATTCACCAATTAGTTCTGAGCTGCTGCAGAAATTACTCGGGATTTCGTAACGATTACGTCATCTGTGAGTAGAGAGGCTTTGACTTCTCCCTTCCAAATGTTAACAGACTCAGGCCTATTACACAGAAAGCCAATGTCCAAGAGACGGACGCTGAAGAAGACACAGCAGGCCTCTCCCTCCCAGGATGCTACTTACCTGGACTAATGGCCCAGACTGCCTTCCAACCTTTGGGAAAGGAGGAGATGCTTACATGAGGACCAGGTTAGGAGATGCCTGCAGAAGCAAGCATTCCCCAAGAACTTTAGTCAGGTAGCCTGGTCTTTTGACACCTACCAGGGGTGATACTCTCCTGGCAATTGCCACAAATGCATACATATACATATGTGTGTGTGTATTTATATGTGTGTATATATCTATATAATGAAATATAGCCCTATTTACCCGCATTTCCCCATCCCCTCCCCATGTTTCTTCAACATGCCTTTTCTACCTCTCTCTTTCTCATCCACAAAGTGCAGTTAGTGCTGCCCATGTGTGCATGGGTGTGAGGCCATCTACTGGAGCATGGAATGCCCATCAGTGGCCACATCCTTGGAAATGAATGGTTCTTCCTCCCCCACCAATTGCCCATGGCCAATGGCTCCTCAGGAAAGAGTGGGGCCTGGAGATCCTCTACTCTGTGTAACCAGAGACTGGAAGTATTCTCCATCCCCCGGACAGGTTTCTCTCCACCCACCAGGTCCCACTCACTAGTTCCCACAGCTGGTTATGAAATAACCACTCTGAGGCTTAATATTTTTTTTTCGAGACAGGGTTTTTCTGTAGCTTTGGAACCTGTCCTGCAACTAGCTCTTGTAGATGAGACTGGTCTTGAACTCACAAAGATCCGCCTGCCTCTGCCTCCCAAGTGCTGGGATTAAAGGCGTGCGCCACCACTGCCCGGCTCTGAGGCTTAATATTAATTACCTACTTTTTAACTCAGGCTTCTTGAGTGGCTACATGGCATCTGCCTGACTCTGCCTTCTTTCTTCCTCTTATCTCTGCTTAAATTTCCCACCTTGCTATATTCTGCCTTTCCACAGGCCAAAGAAGCTTCTTTATTAGCCAATGGTAATAGTACATATTCACAACATACAGAGGGGAATCCCACATCACCCTATCTGTGCCAGGATTTTGGCTGGCTTGCTCTTGTGCAGATCTTGTGGGTTCGTGATTGCAATAGCCACATCCCATCCAGAAAACTGCATTTCATGGCAGTCTTCTCCAGCCGCCTCTTCCCCGAGTCTGGGTGGTGCTGGAGTTAGCAAGAGTCATCCCACTGGGGCTGAACTCAGTCTCTTACTCTTTAGAGCAAGACAGTCTGAATGCAGAGTGAAGACAAGCCCTGAGAATGAAAGAGAAGGGGAACAAACCAAGATGGAGCCGCTGACGACAACCCAGCACACAGTCTTTGTGCTTTCCTTTTCTTTTCTTTCCTTTTCTTTTCTTCTCTTGCCTTACTGCACTGTCTGGAACCACTAATGCAGATGAAGAAGAGGTTAGAGCTAACGTCTTTGATGTTAATCTTGGGGATTAGGCAGTCGCTGTTTACCATTAAGTATGATGTCAGCTGTAGGATTGTATGATGTCAGCTGTAGGATTGTTTTTGTTTTGAGACAGAGTCTCACAGAGATTAGGCTCCCTTTAAATTCCTGATTCTCTTGTCTCTACCTCCCCTGTGAAGGACTAGGAGTCCACAAGATCCCCGGATCCCCGGTAGTCAGGCAGAAAGGGAAAAGAGACTCCAGGTGGATTAATACACTCGATTTGGCAGATTTTTTTTCCTGCCAGAGAGAATTTTTCAGTGGAGCTTTCTAAGGAGGGTGAGGTGAATTGGTTTCCTATGTCAAGAACCAATCTGTTCTCTCTCTTTGTCTAGATTACCCGACCCCCTGTGACAGCCCAAACCAGTCAATTCTGAGGGGGAAAAAAAAGAGGGGAGCCAATCTCCAAACACAAAAAGTTTGTCTCTGAGACAAATTCCAGAACCACTTTAGGTCCCCTTCCCACCTGGGAACCTCTCTTTTCATGTGCTTTGCTTTGTGTTTTTGCTTTTACTAAAACTTGGCTGTGGGAGCTGGAGAAATGGCTCACCAGTCAAGAGCACTGGCTGCTCTTGCAGAGGACAGGCATTCACTTCCCAGCACACATACCGCAGCTCACAACCTTGTACACTTCAGTTCCAGGGGATCTGATGCTCTCTTCTGTTCTCCAAGGGGATATGGCAGACAGGTAACACAGTCACACATGCAGACAAAACACCCAAGCACATAAAACAAAAATTAAAAAAAAATTGGCTGTGGTGAGACCTTGCTTTTCCTGCTTTTTTATTCTTTAAATAGGCAGAGGAAATAATAGGTTTCTACAGCCCTAGCCGACTCACCGTGACAGCACACAAGGGCTAGATTACAGGTGTGTACTGCATGCCTGCGTAGACACCGTTTATCAGCGAGAAGATTGCTAAACACCTTCTGTGTTTATTGACATCCTCGTTCCCCCTCCCCACCCACCTTTGTTCTTTTGACCTGCTGACCACTTGGTTTCCTCACCCACCCACCCACCCTGCTGAGTGTATTATTGCTGTTTCAATGGTAAACCCGCTTCATATTCCCGGATTATGAGCCATTTGGTCATATTTTACCCTTTTGTTGCAACTACTGAACTTGATTGTATATTTTTTTCTTTTTGAGACAAAGTTTCATATAGCCCAGGCTGGCCTGGAACTCACTATGTAGCAAAGGATGACTGAGAACTTCTGGCTCTGCCTCTTCTGGGCTTACAGATGCACACCGCCATGCCCAGCTGTGGAACCATCCTTTTGGACACTGTGAAGATGTGCTGCTCTCGTTGTTAATAAAGAGCTGACTAGCCAATAGCTCTTAACTGCTGGGCCATCTCTCCAGCCCATGCCCAGATTTTGTGCAGTGTTGGATATGACACAGGAGGCTTTTTTCAAGCACACTACTAACTGACCTGAAGGTTTGTACGTCTCATCAAGCATTTGTGTCCATTTCAGTCTCTGGGGACCCTCAGAGCCCAGACTACTGCTTGAGACAGGATAAAGTCTCAAGAGCTGTGCTAAACACGTGAAACCTCTAGCTTCCCTCCACGTGGGCCGGCTGAGCCAAATAACTTATTTACATATGTCAACAGAAAGTTCCAGACTTCCTTCTGAAAATGCCGCCGTAGTCTTCCTTCCCAGCAAGAGATACACCGGGGAGTAAGGACTAGTGAGGGCCTTGCGCAGTAGCTCCAAGTACAGGCGCTGCAGTCAAATCCTCTCAGTGGGCGGGGAACGGGAGCAAGAGGCCTTAACCGAGAGGCTTTGCAAAGAGGCCAGTCTCAGAGCCGGCTTGAAAGACTCACAGCAAGGGGGAGGAAGGAGAGGTAGTCTAGGCCCAGAAGGAGGAACTGGGGCAGTGGAGGAAGGGTGACATCTTGGCATCAGAAGCCGCACGTTCAAAAGCACAGAGGCGTGACAAGTCATTACTTCAGCCTCCAACTTAGCTGTTGACCTTGAACAGATCTGTCCTGCTTGCTGGTAAAGAGGGAACCAAACAACAGAGCTGCCAAGTCCCAGGTTTGCAGTGAGATGATGTACGGGAAAGACCTTGGGAAAATTCCCACAGGAGCGCTGCCTTGCTGCTGACAAGGAGACGAGGTGTCTCAGTGGCCTGTCCAGCCCAGCACTGCACTGACAGGCCTGAGGAGCAAGCAGCCAAGAGACTGGCTCTTCCTGGGCATCAGAGCCTAGCAACCAGCCTCACACAGCTGCCCAGGAAAGGGGAGGGCTCCAAGGGTGACACCTCCTCTGATTTAGGATGGGGCGTGGTGGCTTATGGGAGGCTGAGGCAGGCAAACTGAGCTGAGTTCAAGGTTAGTTTGGTCTGCCTTGAAAGTTCCAGGTTGACCAGTGCTGCATAGTGAGACCCTGACTCGGGGCAGAAACAGACAACAAAACCCAGAGTCCTGCCTAGATAGGGACAGTTCTCTTGTGGTTAAGAGGCTGGCAGTCGTCTGCCTAGGCTCTCCACTACCCTACAAACCTTCAGCTGGGGCTGGAGAGACGGCTCAACCACCTCAGAAAATACCAGTTCTCTTCCCAGCACCAACATGGTGGTTCACAGCCATCTGTAACTCCAGCTCCAGGGGATCTGACTCCTTCTTCTGGCCTCATTGGTCACCAGGCATACATGTAGTATACATACATGCAGGCAATAACACTTATACATATAAATGCTTTTTATTAAAAGCTTTAAAAAATCAACTTTAGCTAACTAAGACAAGCTCTCACTTCCTAAGCAACTGAAGCAAAGGGTTTGGGTAGATATAGGAAGCATGAAGAATCTCACCTTTTTCTTTCCTTTCTCTATTATTAGAGCACAGCTGGTGTGCACCCACCCACACCCACACCCAGAGCGCCACCACTGAACTATAATCCCAGACTTGGAGCGCTACTATTCCCCCGCGCTGCCTGACAGCGATGGCTTTAATATAGAGCCATCACTGTGTTTGTATTTTACATGACTACCGAGCCTAGCAGTTGTTTCTCAGCAGTGCCCCCTATCAAACACAGATTGGCTGTGTTTACCCACAACTCGCCTCCCACTCCTGTCGCCCTGTGAGTACACACAGGGCATCTAGCAGCTGGGTCTGGGAAAGGTGGCTCTTTGCTTTTCATCAGGTCTGGGAAACGGAATACAAAAGGTTGGTGTATTCTGCCTCTGGACACTCCGGAGGGTAAAGGGACAAAGGAGCGGATTGCGTGAACAGGTGGCTTCTAGTAGCAGCGAAGTAGGAGAGATAAAAGGCAAGGGATGGGTTCCAGGAGCTAGAAGTGTCAGATGGAGGAGGGAGAAAGATAAGAAAAAGGGAGGAGGAAAGAGTAGGGGCGGGAAGGGAGGGAGGAAGAGGGGGGGATTATGAATCAGTTTGTAAGCATAAATTTATGGCCTTGGTGCCTATGCAGGAACAGAGTCACTACCAGGACAGGGAACAGCAGAGGCTGAACAGGTTTGGGGGGGGGGGGGGGGGGGGGGGGGAAGTTTAACCTAGGCCATTTGTTTACTAGGTTCTTGGGCAGTTCTGGGTGGCAGGTACCGTGACAGGAACAATCTGTCTGGAACAACCATGAAGTCTAAAAACAAGGTTCTCTGCTCCCACGGAGCTCACATGCCAGGATGGTTAGAACAGTTTAAATAAAACGACAAAGTAAGTGAGGAAGTCACGTGATCAGGGTGCTGCCAGGGTAACCAGGCAAGGCCCAGTCAGAGCCCGGCTTGGAGGTAAGAAGATGCCAGTCTCAGTGTGGCAGTGGTCCAGGATATCTAAGCAGAGAAGCAGTTTGGGTATCTCAGTCTGCATATTAGAACACACAGTACAAAATTCACAGTGAAAAATACATACTAAATATAACACTATTTATAGAAAGACCAAGAACGCTCAGAGTTCTAAGGGTGTGCTGGAGGAGAGCAGGCTCTTTAGATCAAGTGTTCGTTTTTCCTCCTAAGCTCAGAGCTGGGAGATGCAATATATAATCTGAATCTGTGTCCTTTTTTGCACATGGGAATATTACAAAATTAACTTCTTAAAAAGATCCAGTGGGCTGTGGAGATGGCTCAGGGTAAGAGGACCTGCAGTCCAGCCTGATGACCTGAGTTCAGTTCCTGGGACCCACAGGATGGAAGGCAAGAACTGACTCCTGCAAGCTGCCCTCTGACCTCCACACCTGCAGGGTGGCATGTGTGGACCCCACAACACGCTCAACACACACAGACAGCTGGGTGTGGTAGGTAGTGCTTGCTTTTTTATTGTTGTTGTTGTTTGAGACAGGATTTTTCTGTGTAACCCTGGCTATTCTGGAACTTATCATGTAGTCCAGGCTGTCCTTGAACTCACAGAGATCCACCTGCCTCTGCCTCCTGAGTGCTAGGATTAAAGGTGTGCTCCACCACATGCCTTTAATCTCAGCACTGGAAAGGCCTCAGAGGTAGGTGGATCGATGTGACTCCGAGGTCACTTGGTCTACATAGAAAGTTCCAGGTTAACCAGGGCTTCATAGTGAGACCATGTCTTAAAACAACAACAACAACAATAAAACAAACATATGCCAAGCCTGGTGGCACACATTTTTTAATTCCTGTACTCAGGAGGTAGAAGTAGGCAGATCAAACGTGAGTTTGAGACTAGCCTGGTCTACACGGCAAATTCCAGGCTATTCAGGGCTGCACAGTAAGACTATCTCAAGACAAATCACAAACACATAAACTTCTCTCTCTCTCTCTCTCTCTCTCTCTCTCTCTCTCTCTCTCTCTCTTCTTTTCTTTCTTCTCTCCCTTCTTCTCTTCCTCTCTCCTTCCCCTCCCTCACTCCTTTTCTTTTTCTTTCTTTCTTTCTTTCTTTCTTTCTTTCTTTCTTTCTTTCTTTCTTTCTTTCTTTCTTTTTTTTTTTTTTTTTTTTTTTTTTTTTTTTAAGAGAGACCGGGAGCATGGGGCCTAGTTACAATGACCAAGCCGCCTGGGCAGGTTTTCACGCCATCCACTCGCAAGCCTGGCCAGCCTCTCACGGCCAACCTCCCGGGACCGACCCCACCCCGCGTCTGCACGATCGCCACGCCCCACATCCACCTGTCGTCCAATAGGCACACGGGATGCGGGCCCACACCCCCGCCGCGCCGCGTCCCGCCCCGTGACGTCACGGCCCAGCCTCCGCCACGTGACGGCCGCGCGCCGGGCTCTGGCTAGCGGCTGGGAAGCGCCGCCGAGGCCGCTGACTGGCCAGGCGCCACGCCGCGGAGGGAGCCGGGCGCCTGGGCCTCCCGCGCGCGAGCTCGCGCATGGGAGCGTCGGCGGCTGCCTGAGGGAGGGCAGCGAGGCCAGCGGAGCCCGAGACCTCGAGGCGTCCCTCGAGCGGCTGCGGCGGGCTGCGGCGGGCCGCGGAGCCGGCGCGGCCATGGCGACGGGCGCTCAGCAGAAGGAGAACACGCTGCTTCATCTCTTCGCCGGCGGGTGAGCTTCGGGCCCGAGCCGTGCTGTCCTCTGCCCCGGCGTTGCCGCGTTCCCCCACCCGCCGCGGACCGGGGTGAAGCGAGGGCGGGCGGCCCGGGAGGGTTGGGACTTCGGTGTCCCCACGGTCGCGGTCGCCACCGGCGCGTCCGCGCTCCCATCCCCCACCCGCCGACCGCCTCTCTCTTTTAAACAATTCCTGGCTGGTGTGACTGTCACCAGGGGCGAGCGCTTCTAGCCCCTGTGGCTTCAGCCCCCTGCTTGTCGCTGGCTACGCTGCAGTCACTCACCGCTTCGGAGGTGCGGACGCTGGAGAGCCTGGGGAGCGCTGGAGGTACTGCGCTCGGTCAGAGGGCTGCGAGCAGGTGTCGCAAGGCAGCGGTGGCCTGCGGAGTGTGGGGGAACGGATGCTGGCCTGCACCACGTGGGAGGGAAAATGGGGACCTCGGAAGGTTTGTCTGTGCTTGTCGGTCTTTAAGCACCTTCAGTGCTTTTCGATGTAGGGACACATTATGGTATGTGGATACGAATAGGAGTTGAATTTCCCCCCTCCAAAAGAAAAACAACAGAAGTTAAATTATTTTTTAATATTTGTTCATTTTTTTTCCTTTTGTCATAGCGGCTACTGGCATGGGAGCCTTTTGGTGCTGGTGTTTCGGGGTTTTTATTTTGAGAAACGCTCTCATGTCTTGTAGCTGAGGATGATCCTCCTGCCTCCTCCACAAGAAAGATGTTGGGGTCACTGGTGTGGCCCAGTGAGCCTGGATTTTATGTGGTGCTAAGTATGAAATCCAGGACTTTGTGCATGCTAGGCAAATTCTCTATGAAGTTAACGTTCCCCAGCCCTGGGGTGTTGAGCTCCTTGGCCTAGCCCAGTTTTAAGTATAGAGTGCTTTACATAACCTTCAGGGTTCATCCTGTGTTTTCATCCTGAGCACTTTAGCTGTGGTCTGGACTATGTATTACCCAAACAGTTCCTTATACTAAACAAGTGCTGGCTGAATAATTACCCGGAAAATAACCACGATGCTCCCATCGTTTCTGGTGCCTTTGTACTTTTACTATGGCCAGCAGTTGTTTTCTCCAGATAGCTTTGATGGTTGTGCTTCGACAGGAAGGATTTCTTACTCATTTTATTTGTCACCCTGTTATTCCTCTCGTCCATGTCTGCACTGATCCTACCTTTGAGAGTGACACCCAGAAGGCTCCCTTAAAGTCGACCACTTCATATAAATTTGTCAAACCTGGGAATTTAAAAACTCTTTAGGCATATTTTTAAAGCCAAGAGAATTTTTTAAAAACGAGTTTATGATGAGTGAGTTTTTTTTTTTTCTTTCGTGCTATTTTTACTGAGGTGGGCTCTTAACATTGTGTTCATGCTCTTAACTGGAGGAGTTCCAGAGTGCCCTGTATTGTGACCCACTATAATTGATGGCCTTGTCTGGATGAATCTCCCTGTAAACACTTCACAGTGCCCTCTGGCTGCCAGCCTTTTCCTTCCTGACAGAGAATACTGCAGTGGGCAGCGCAGGGCAGCTTCCAGGAGTCATTAAGGTGTAGGGAGTTGATTAGCGCTGTGCCTGAAGCCGTGGTGTTTAATAAGCTCTAGTTGCTTCATTAGCAGTTTGAGATCTCTGTGTTTGCAGATAAGAAATGAACCTTCAAAAGATTGTTTGCAGAGCTGCTAATTGGATTTTAGCCTAAAATACTTCTGTCCCTTTCAAGGTAGAGCATGAAAGGAGTTGAATGTAATGAACAGGGCACAGGCTGTAGTTAAAAGTTGTCAACCCAGGGGTCCTCGGAACAGTTCCCTCTGTTGCTAAGCTGGCCTCTTTCCAGGGAGCTAAGTTCAATGCCTGTGAAAAGTCAGGGGTCTTGCTTTAAAATCTGTTGTTTCTCTTGTTTATTGGCTAGTCATTGATGGCTGTATTCTCAGACAGATTTAATGCTATCCCAGATTAATAATAGTACAAACTATTTGTTTTTGAGACAAGATCTAGAATTCACAGAGATTCTCTGTCTCCACTTCTGCCTCACAAACACTGGAATTAAGATTCATGCCACCAGGTCCTGGTGATTTCCAAAGATTTTTAACTCGCTATGACAGGCTTATCAGTTTAATATAACCAGTGAAAATTAATTTTAGATCCTGGAAACATGAAGGCTGTATCAAAATAGTTTGTGATCTATAATTTTTTTTTTCTTGAAGAGCCAAGTTTCTATATTATTCCCAGCGGTTATTGCCAAAGGAGAAAGTAGTCCTGAATTAACATGCAATAGTCAGGTTTTCAGAATGGCACGTTGTCCTTTGAGAAGAAAGCAGGAAGAAAGACCACCACAGACCCAACATCTGGAAATGCAGTTTGGCAGAGGTTCCCAGTGGCTTTCGTACTCACTCTGCATAGGATTGTGTCCTTTATGTTGGTTTATTTTGTGTGGGCAGGTCTAGAATTCACTGTATAGTCCAGGTTAGCCTCAAGCTCCCCGCAATCCTGCCTCAGTCTTCCAAACACTAGGATTACAAGGCATGAGCCATGTTACCCCAGTTCTCCACTTTGCTTTCTTAGTGATATATTGAATGATCGTGGTAGTGTATTTTGAGTACAGTTTATCATTAATGTCTGTTTTAATATTCAGTGCAAGTTCCGTTTCTAAGGCCTGTGAGTGGGGATCAGTGAAGATGTTGGCTTAATTTACAGTGAGCTCCTTCTTACACTGACAACGTCTTTGTAATCCTTGCTTTTTCTTCCTTCACGTCCATTATAAATCACATCCTTACCTGTGGACAAGATCTATTTCCTTTGACTAAATTAGTGAAGATATAGCTGCTGAGTCAATATTTGTAGATTTTATGTGTATGGGTATTTTGTCTACATGTATGTCTGTGTATCACATGCATGCCCTATGCCAATCAGACTAGAAGAGGGCATCTGATCCTCTAGAACCGAGGTTACAGATTGTTGTGAGCTGCCATGTGGGTGCTGGTCATTCAGCCTGGGTCCTCTGGAAGAGCCATCTCTCCAGCCCCAAACTAAAATATTTTTAAGACATTTGGTCTCAGCATTTTAAGTTTGCCTCTTAGTGTGAGTTGCTTGTGCATGACTGAGCTTCATTTTTGGTGTTAAAAGACCCTCTAGGTCGCTTCCCTCCCTCAGTGCTGTCAAAGCAAGAGAGTAGTACTCAGGCGTTACTCGAACAAATATAGTTTACTGTTTCTTTCTGTGACCTATACCACTCCATCAAGAAAATGGCCAGAGTGCTCTCAAGTAGCCCTTCCTTGGAAGACCTGATTTGCCTTCAAGGGCCTGGGGGGCTTGTGTCGTCTTAGTGACATCCTTTGCCTGCCATGCTACTGTGAAGGTGGTATTAGATCTTCGTGGTACAGCTGGATTAAGCTGTAGATTTAGATTGATAATCTGAATTAGATGCTTTCAATCTTATTTCTTATGGTGTGATTGTGTGTGTATATGTGTACGCATTTTGTAATAATAAACAGTTACATGACCTTTAAAATATTTTTAAATAAGGTCCGGAGATACTTTATTGGTAGATTGTATGTTTAGTATGACTGTGACCCCAGGTTTTTTATTTAATCCCCAACATGCTACAAAGGAAATATTGATGGGAATATGTAGATCCGGTAGCCCATAGATAGTTTCAGAATTTACTGTCTTCCAACAGATCACTGGCCATGGCTGACAGGTATACTCTGGCACTTTGCCAACTTAATTTTGATTATGTGAAAGCATTACAGAAATGACTGTTCCACTATCTAGGGGTGCAGTGTATAGACCATTCAGATTTTTCCTGAGGTCCAAGGCTGTAGCTCAGTGTGAAGCGTTGCTAGCATACACATGTCCTCAGCTGGAGCTGCCAAACCATATAAACCAAACAAACAATAGCACATTCTTACAGGAATTTTGATTAAACAAATATAATGACTAATACTTTTTATCAAGATATATATATATATATATACTATTTATGAATATAAATTGACTTTAATTTATCTACTATAGTTGTAGCTATGAAAGGGTTTTGGGTTTTTTGCTTGTTTGTTTTTGATGGGAAATGCCCAATAAGATGGAAGTTTCTTTTTGTATATTTGTTTTTCAAGACAGGGTTTCTCTGTGTTGTTTTGGCTGTTCTTGAACTCACTCTGTAGACCAGACTGGCCTCAAACTCACAGAGATCCGTCTGCCTCTGCCTCCCGAATGCTGGGATTAATATGTGTGCCACCACTGCCTCGCTAAGATGGAAGTTTTTTGTAAGTACCATAAACTTCCTTCACTAGACCATTCCAAGTGTAGGTGCCAGGCAGGTTACAACTGCCAGGCAGTATTAAAGAATTGACTGTCTTAACTCGGATGTAGATTGATGTGGTCTGAATTGTCCTAAATAGAGAAATGCAGTACTTTATTGCTGAGTTACTCATTAGTATTTGCTGAAGCTATATTGGTACAAGGTAATGTTAATTTAGATTTCTTTATTTGTGAAAGATATGATTCATCTTCATTTGGGATGCTTTTTCCCCCCTTAAAATTTATTTATTTTATTTATGTGTATGAGTGTTTTGCTCGCCTGTATGTATGTGTGCCATGTGCATGCCTGGTGCCCTCTGAGGCCACAGGAGGGTATTGTACCATGTCAGTGCTGGCCTGAGCCTGAGCCTCTGCAAGAAAAGGCCGTCTCTCCAAATGAGATGGAATAGAGGGTGTATATCCTAAAGGAGAATCAGCGGCATCCGAAATTGGTTTTGCTTTAATGAAATAATACGCAACTTACATAATTGACATCTCATAAGCTTTATGTCTGATATTCATATAAACTTTCCAGAATATGATAGTTTGTGAAAAGCAACTAATGTATTTCAAGTAGCAGAAAAGAGGAAAAATTATTGAATTGCCAAGGATTAGAAGGCTTGCACAGTTCCTGTTGGTATTGTTTGTTGGTAGAGCCCATTTTGTACCTGTGTATAGTCCATGACCATGGAAATCAGTTTACCGCTAGTTGGTAGTGATTTTTATAATAAATAGCCCATTAGGACTTGAGAGATGGCTCAGTGGGCAAAGGACTTCCTGCCAAGCCTGGCAGCTGGAGTTCAATCCCGGAGACACACGTGGCAGAAGGAGAGAACTGTGAGTTGTGTGCTGGCATCCACACATGCGCACCAACACACCCACCCACCCCACATTGAAGAAATAAATGTAATAAAAGTCTATGGGCCACCGAAATGGCTGTGCTGGTGAAGGCACTTGACACCAAACTTGACAGCCTGTGTTCAGTGTCTGGGACCCATATGGTAGAAGGAGAGATCTAACTGATCACCACATGAGCATTGCAGTGTGTGTGTGCACTCACACAAACACACACACACTAAATGTAATATTTTAAAGGTAAAACTTTTTTTTTTTAAAAAAGCACATTGGCCTTGACGTTAGTGCCTAAGGTGAGTGAGTATATACTCAGGAAACAGAATATTTTACTGAAAACTTGTTTAATTTCTTTCTGATTATTTGAAATTCTGAGGTGAAAGTTAATTTATGTACATCACTTAAAATTTTTATGTAACTTTGTAACCTCATAAAAATAGCTGAAAACTTCAGTGTCCATTTTATAGTAGTTGTTCTAGCCCACACTGGAGGAGAGGTGTGGGAAATTAAGCAAGGGCCATGTGGATATAAAAAGATACAGGTTAAATATGCCTTGCTTGTGTGATAAATGCTACTTCAACTCTGAAGGGAGGAGGAGAGAAAGTAGAGAAATGCCAAGAAGCAGGTGCTGATGTAAAAGGGGACAGGTGGGGGACTGGAGAGACGGCTCAGGGGTTAAGAGCATTGCCTGTTCTTCCAAAGGTCCTGAGTTCAATTCCCGGCAACCACATGATGGCTCACAACCATCTGTAATGAGGTCTGGTGCCCTCTTCTGGCCTGCAGACATACACACAGACAGAATATTGTAGGCATAATAAATAAATAAATAAATATA